TGTGTTCGATTAGGATCGAACTGCGTCGCAATCAGTAAAACAAATCATTGGTTAGGAATTCAAATCTGTAGTTCGGTATTTTGTTTTGATATTTTCATACTGAATTAATTTTTTGTTACAATACAAAAAAGAAAGACTAGAAAAAAATTGTAAAATTACAATAAAAAATTAAAATTAAAAAAAAACTAGAATGAGAAAATTTTCGATAAAAAAATTAAAATTAAAATATTAAATAAAAAAATTAAAAATTTAATTTAAGAAATTAATTAAAAATTAAAATTAAAAATTAAATTGAAAACATTGACAATAGAAAATCTAAATTGAAAAATTTGTTAAAAACGTAAAATGAAAAAAAGTTAAGTAAAAAGATCCAAACAAAAAACCAAATTAAAAAATTAAAGTAAAAAAAAATATAAAAATTGACAATTAAAAATCAATAAAATAAAAATCTGGTCTCGGATTCGAATTCGCGATCCGAGAAAACTTTGTACACAACGTGTTCATCTTGAAAATATGAATTTATGGCTGGATAGTGTACCGGCTTTATGAATGACTCATATTACAGTTAGGGTAAATGTAAAACCTGCTTGACAAGATGAGACTTATAAATATTTTCTCTCCAAGGTTTTATCATTATATGTTATGTTAGTCTAAAGTAAAAATAACATTTCTAAACTGAAATTTCTAGCAATCATACTCGATTATTGATATTCACCAAAGGATTAAACCAAACAAATATGAGTACAGGACATGATGTTAAGAAAGATAAAAACAATACTTTTAGCTTTTGATTAAGTCAAACAGATATTATACTTTGCAGTCATCTTATCTTATAATCAATATATTTCATAATTTCTTCGAACATTCAAGCTATTCTTCAATACTGATTACTTTAATAAAAAAAATAGTTCGGTCTAATTAACAAGATACGTTAAAAAGTGTACTTATCGCTAATCTAGAAGAGTACTCATTGTTTAAGAACAAATATATTTCAGTCAAAAAAAAAAAGATAAACATAAAACAAGACCCAAAACTCAAGGGACGAGTGTGTGCACTCAAATTATCATTATTTGTTATTTTATATTCTTCATTCGATACTCTTGTCAGTCAATAGTTAAATCATCACTATTTATTGTGTCAATAGAAACATTCATAACCAATGACTAGAGTATTGCAACCTTCCATTCAGATACTTCTATTTATACTTAGATAGAGATATGAAATCTACGTAATATGAAATTAATACAAAGAAGTTGAGTATGAATAGTTCTGCCCGTACAATACTATACGAATGAAAATAAGTCCTAATAAATAAATGTAAAGATAAATAGAGGTTGAGTTTTCTCATCTTGTCCTAAATATGCAGAATTAATAGTAATTTCAATCAATGCAATGAAAAATCTACTGGAATTATTTTTATTATCAATCATTTCGAGATCTTACTAATGAACCTCTTTTATAATAATCTCAACAAACAGTCTCATGTTACTGCTTTAGTAAAAATTTTTATTAGGGTAACATAATGATGAAAAATTAATAACGTAGTCTTAGAATGCTCTTTACAAATAAATATGAAAATTTGAAATTGTCCAAATAAGTGACAATTATAGATACATTTACACGAGAAAAAAAGAAGCAATTGTTGAACAGATATTAACAAAAAAAAAAAAGAGAAATTCTTGATATATATTAACATTTAAATAGACTGAATAATTATAGTGTTATAGTCATTACATAAAACTAGCTAAAGCAAATATCGATCGACATTTCGATCGTTCAGATCCACAATTATAAATACAAAAACAAAACAAACATAATCCCTTGTATTTTTTTATCTAATGTCATTGTTTATTTTATAGATTATTAATGAAACCGTATGACATTTTCATTGTTATAATATTGATTCTCTGAAAAGAACTTTTTTTAATAGATTTATTTCAAAATAAAGAAAGTATTAAATCCATATATATGCAATTAAATTAATATATTATCTGAACTATGATTATATTTATCACATAACAAAAAGTTGAAAGCAATAAATTATTTTTCTTTTAAGAACAGCAGAATGCCATCATTGATTGTTCACACATTTGTTTTTAATTTAATCTACTTTTCATTGAATGTATTTATATATAGAACAAAAAGAATTTTATTTTCATTTATTTAAATACTCAATTTTGATGACTTTTCTATATGAGACAAGAATGACTACTGAAACAAAGTTAATCTTTTCACCTGAACGTTCATTAACCAGTTTAATTCGTATGTTTTCTAGTACAAAAAATAAGAAATTAATTTCCTTTTTGTTTTTAGTTTTATTGTTTATATATTTTTATTTTATTTAAGGCAAGTCGTTGATGAGTTGCAATAACCTAACCATCAAAACCTGTTTCATGTTGTCTTTATCGATATTTTACACTCGCTTCTACTTCAGTTGCAAATGTTATTTCAGTCAGTTCGAGTACATTTGATGTCAGTATGTTTTTATTTGATATTACGTTGATTTTTTGTTTTCTTAAGTTTTTAATATGTTTACCTTTGGAAAGTTCATATCATACAAAATTAAATTCATCTATTTACTAGGATTAGTCTTTTCAACATCTTGAATGTCTTGATCGTGGTTCATTTGCTAAAGTAAGATAAGCTTTTCTAAGGTTCAAATTTTGAATTAAAATGTTAAATAAAACAAAAAGCGAAATAACTACATTTACTAATAGAAAGATATGTTTCATTCATAAAGTTAAATTAAATCAGTATTATTTAAAACTTTGTTGAGTTTATCATTAAATTAATCGATTTCTTGTTTAGTTATTTGTCAACATATATTCAATAAATTTTACTTCAGAGATTATATCAATCATAATCAGTATTGCCTCTGTAATAATGAGAGAACACTTTGTAGATGTTAGGTTTCATTTCATAATGAGGATCAATGCATTTTTTTTGACTTTAGTAAACTAAGTCGACAAGAAGAGGAGTTCATTTTTGTAATCTATTTTCTGAGTCGATGAAATGTCTTTCATCATATCAGTATGTTTTGAATATTCTCGTCGCAATCTATACTGATCGACTTACATCTACAAAGGAATTTTTCAACTCGAAAACCGATCTTATCTAATTTTTTCTACTGCCTATAAACGATCGAAGTAAAGTAGCAGAAGCATTTGTTAGTCCTAGAATAATCTTGATCGACTGATTATTTGTTGAAAATCTTCATCATTATTCTTTGAATGAACATCAATAATTATTTCATTTCGATTTTCTAGATTTGAGGTTTTTTTTAAGCTTCAGTTTTAGAACTTTTCAGTAATCTCAGTTTGATATATCATAAATTCAATATATCTATATATAGTGAACTACATAAGACATCTATAGCCGCTAAGTAAGTTTTTCTTTACTATGCAATGTTCAGTTTTCGTGATAAAAATAAACACGATGGAATTTTCATGACAACTAAAGTCTATCTTAATATTTGGTCGGCAAAAACTTCAATTTTGCTGATTTATAAGAGTCAAGTTGTCTGTACCATATTAATTATCACGATTTTAAAAATGAAATCTTTCATGAAATATCATTATTGATGAGAGTTGATCCAACATCTTCTCTCTTAAACTGTAATGTATATTGATAATAAATGATGCATAAAACATGGAACAAGAATAGAAATAAAATTTTGCAGATAGCAATAGAAAAAACTCGATTGTATTTCATACATCAATCTCACAAGAACTTCGTTAACCGTTTTTTCTTTCAATAAAATATTTTATAAAATTCATACAGAACACTTCTTATTGAAATTTTTCTTTTGCACATAGTAACGTAATGTGTCTTTTTCATTTTATTCAAAGATATACACTCTCATTAAAATGTCAGATCATTTAATGAAGATATGATAATATCTTTCACAGTGTATATCACGTTTTTAGTTAGTCGTACCTTCCTTGCGTATATATAATTAGTGATCATTGAGTAAATTCTACGGCTATATCGTATTGATGTGGCACTTTCTAGAATAAACTCATTAGATGACATGATTGAAGTATGTGTAAATAGTTATTGAACAATGTTGTTTCACGTATTTTCAATGCTTTTCGATAAAAATCAAGGGATTAGTTAGTGTACTTTAGTACATGATATACTGCGGTCAGATAATATAATACAACCATTGAATTCAAATATTTAATTAGTACTGTGATATAGTAAAAAAATCACAATTTTAGAAAGATATTCTTGATTCTTAATCAAAGAACAATTTTTATTAATATTCATATATTTCTTGGTAAATACTGGCAATAATAATTATAGTTCAAAGTAAGTCAAAATTAAATTCTGATGAATTTGTACATGGATATTTTTTACGTGACGAAAAAGTACCAGTGGTATTTTAAATATCGTCAGTAAAACTGTGAGCTCATTGTACACTGTAATATACGTTACATCAATTACTTTAGTATCTCAATGTGGATTAAGAAATAATGACATTGAGATTTATGTTATGAAAAAAAAACAATAAGAAAAGGTTTAATGATTAAGCTTGTTGTATTATACAGATTATTCAATAGTAATAAAAGATTCTGAGCATAGATAATGAAATAATAAATATAATGTAGGAAATGATTACAATAATGAATATTTCATAGAAATATTTAATATTTTCTAGCGACTAGATGTGTCCATTCCTTACAAAAAAGTTTTTCTTGTATTTGTAATTATCAAAGATTAATAATAATCCAATAGAAAGCATCGATTGAAATGGCCACCGAAGTTAATAGATGGATATAGAAACATCAAATATATAATAAAACTTTGATGAATATCCGATTGTTATTATAGAAGATGTATCTTTTTCTGTCTTCATCTATTTATCTCAATGACGTGCTAGTATAAATAAATACCAACAGAAAAGAAGAAAAATTGTCGTCAATCTGTCATTCATAGATATCATTCTCTAATGTGATAAGTAATTTCTCAATTTACTTCGGGCATCGTAGACTTGAGTGATGCAACTGATAAGATCATTGAGATTTATTCTATTTATTCTTGTTTTGACCACAAAAATTGGATCGATTTCTTTAGAAGAACGATTTCGAATATTTGTTAGAAATGTTGCTTCAACATTTCATGCAAATTGGTGTCAACATTTTCTTAGTGAACATCCATCTATTAGAAATCGTTTTAAATTAACTATTAGTGGAACTCATTATAATTCATCTGATTTTATTTATCCTATGATTCTTACAGTTGGTTCATGTCTCGTTCATCGAAATCTTAAAGTAGCTCGTGCACGTTACAATTCATCAATAACTTATATTGATATATTAAATATGGATTATGACGAATTACCTCCAGATTGGACATCTGAAAATAATGATAATGCACAAATCGCTTGTAGACTAGTTCTAAAAGGTGTTCGTCAAAAACGTATATTTAATAGAAATTTTATCGAAGCAACATCAGAAAAAGTTCACCAAGCATGGGTAAAACGAAATGCGCATCGAACAACAAATAAATTGATTTTAACTTATAAGAATTTATCCGAAAATGAAAAAGACAAAGATCGAAGAGCTATATTAATAGCTTGTCGTTTATTTAATGAACTTCATTTGTATCGCCATTTTAGAACGACTCCCATTCATTTAATTGAACCTTCGATTGAATAAAACTAAAGCTTACATCTTTAAAAAAACCAAAAGATCATCTTTTTCAAATGTTAAAGTTATAGATATTGTATCCTATAGAAACAGTAAATGAGATCTTTAACAAAAACAAAATTAATTATGAAAATTTCCTTCGTTAAATATGATTTGTTCAAATAAAGCCAAGTTAAAAAAAAGTTATATGAGATTAGAGAAAAATATTACTTTAGACCATTTTCTTTTTTCTGAATATGGACTATTCATTGACAATTTCTATTCCTTAATATAGAAGATTTACTATACTTGAAATGTTTGGCGAGTAATTATTTCTATAAGACACTTTTTACGACAACAAGTTCTTTTGAAAGAATAAACAAACAGAAATACATTTCTATTACAATAATAGATTATTTGTCTGAAAAAAATAATCAAAACACATTATTAATAATTAATTTATCACGATCAATATAGTAAAGTAGGACGTAGCTTAATAGAAGCATTTAGATTTTCATCAACAAGTATGCCGGTTTCATTTGCCAATAGTTTATTTTTTTATGTTGTCGATAACTGTCTGAAATTCTAGTGATGGATTATACTTACGAAATTTCATCTTTCATTTATGCACATACGAAGTTAAAAAAATTTTGAGTAAAATTGTTTTTTTTGCTTAGGACTCTGAGGACGATCACAGGTGAGTTTTTTTGATGAATAATAAAGTTCGCAAAAACAATATCTAGAACATTTATAAGTTGACTTAGCCTCAAGTGCTAAGATCAAGTATATTAGTAGCTTTGCTGTATATTGTATTTTTCTAACCAAAATCTCTTGAACGATAATCGAAATGTTATAAAATCATATCTCGAAAATAGTCTGCTAGGAAATTTTTTCGGTATTTGACAAAAAAATGGAATTATATAGCGTTTTAAAAACGCTCTCGATTGATATGACACATGGAGATTTACATGAATTGATTGAATGCCATAATTTTCTACCAATTAACTAGATAATTAACTGAACAAAATTTTCAGTTCATCTATTACTAACTGCCAATGAAATAACAAATGCATGATACCAATATTGTTTTTTCAATAGATTTGTTCTCAGGCGAATCGATGTAGAGTCCAATGTTCTATGGGCTGATACCACTTCAATGCGAAAGGGATATCATTGTGAAATGATATCAGCAGGATATTTCATCATTTCGACGATGATAACCTAAGGATAGTATGTCCAGTCGTTACTACCGTACATATTGCCACATCAATACGATAAATACTGCCAGGCAACAGAGCGTAACATTCTGCACAGAAATAAGAATTTATTTTAAGAATTTAAGAATGGAACGACTTGACTCTTCATTAAGCAGTCCAATATAAGTTTTAAAACATTTTATAGACAACTAATGGTCTTGAAAACTTCTCGATTGTATCTTATTCTACCCTAAATAATCGAGGAGCAAGAAAATATCTATTGATTACTTGATATTCATACATAAGCATACAGTTTTTACGAAAATATTCTCTTCTGCTGAATAAAAATTACCTGATAGTAGGCAAAATGTTGACAGTCGAAATGAAAAAAAAAACAGATTTAAAGAAAGACATAGTTTTTCGTTTAGATAAACACGAACAAGTGATTTTTTCTGGTGACGATCAGAAGGACACTTTACTGATGTTTATTATCAATTGCAAAAAAGAATGATTTCACGAAAGGATCCGACGACAATGACTGCAGTAAATAAAAGGCAAGTCGTTGCATAGGAGACACAGAATTGAATTTATCATAAGAATGAAAATGAAAATCGTGTACATCATCAATATGCTCAGAATTTTTTAGATAAATAGTCACTTGACTGTCAACTGTGTCAGATCATAGCTGAAAATTCTGTTCGACTGGTTGTCTATTCAACCGGTAGAAAATCACGACGTTTACTCGCGAGGAAGGCACTCGGACTGTCCTCTCAACTTTGAGCTCATACTTTGACTATAAGTAGATATTATTATGAATAGCAAAAAAACTGAAAGGATTCGTACCCATGGGCCTCTGGTCAAAAGTTAGAGAGATCTCATTATTCACATAGATATGTGTAACAAGGTGGCCAATTTTAAAATTTTTCTGAAACTGTCTTTTTGAGCAATCAAATTATCCTCTGCAATGGCTCTGGTAGTCTTCCATGATCAGTAAAAGTTTCAAATCAAAAGGGTCTAGTATTCGAAAGATACAATAAATTTTATTTCTACAGACTATCGAACGAGCCTAATTTCAATTTTTCTAGTTTAAAGACAATCATGACCAATTAACTAATGGCATGCAACAACATCCGCAAAGTTTTGTGAAGCAAATTTTGAGTCGGAAGAAACTATGGAGACCAATAATATTTTTCTTGCATTCATACCTCATTAGGCTCTACAAGATGTGCTATATACTAATTGATTTCAAGATGTCATGTATACTAGTGCCTGTGGTCCCCCACAGCTTTTTTAAAAATTCTTTAGTATTTTTAATTTTTGACAGTGTTGCACAACTTTTTTCTTATTTTTAATATCATCAATAGATAGAGCGTGAAAAACTACCCTACTGGTAAAAGTTTGACGTTGCAGCTAAACTCTTTTCATGACAAAGTAGGGAGATAAATACTTATTTACAGAAAAATGGCCATTTTCTACCCAGGAATCGCAGCTTTTTATTTAAAAGTAACTTTTTTTTGCCAAAAAAAGTTCAGATTCGTATAGAACACATATTTTCAGTTAGAAAAGACATTTTCTACTAACGTTTGAAGAAGGGTTCTTTTACACGGGACCCAAAATTGAAAAATAGGGCCTAGACTGTGCTCCAGACTATATAGAGAACAAGGGAGTTTTTAGAGGTTTTATTATGACATTCATAATCAGCACACTTTAATGTATAGGAATATCTAGCTTTGATTGATGAAAAGCGAAATTTTCTTTTTCGACGATACCTGGGGGAGACCTCAGGAAGCAAAATTGATGATGTTATTTTTTTTAAAATAAACCTGAAATAAATAATCAGGAGTCAGTTGTTCTAATTTTGTTCGTTTTTGATATAGTTTTTTCAAATTGTTAACGATGGTATATATTCTCTCGCCGTAGCGGTTTTTGAATTGTTGTTTTGTACGGAAGGTTGATAAATTTGTAAACATTTTAATTTCTCTTCCCGATGATAAGATGTTATTATTTAAAGCTTTTGTAGTGTTTGATATATATTTATTTTAAAATGTGACGTTTCGTTGTAATTTACAACTTCATCAGAGAAAAATATGAAATAAGAAATAATATAATAAAATGATAGCTATATTTATATGTGTACAATAATAGGCTAGTCTATTGTTTCATTTTTGTTATAATAGTGATACGAAATTAACCAATTAATCCAGACTATTGCTTTACCATCTTGTTCCGTATCACTATTATAACAAAAATGAAACAATAGACTAGCCTATTATTGTACACATATAAATATAGCTATCATTTTATTATATTATTTCTTATTTCATATTTTTCTCTGATGAAGTTGTAAATTACAACGAAACGTCACATTTTAAAATAAATATATATCAAACACTACAAAAGCTTTAAATAATAACATCTTATCATCGGGAAGAGAAATTAAAATGTCTACAAATTTATCAACCTTCC